TGTGGCAGCTAATGGGTCTCCGCAATAGACCATTTTCCGTTCACTGCGAGAATCGCGCGTTATGCGTGAAATCGAACGTAAAAACAGGACAAACAAAGGTCATAGCGTCGTAGTGGCGTCAAACAACGCGTGGGATTCGACAAACTCGAAAATATTTTGGGGGCATTTCCATGCCTAATAATGTGCTGTACACATTTGATGATAGACAATTTCGATTAAGTGAGGGTATTCAAAAGCAATATTCCTCTGTCGAAGATCGGCCAGTCGATATGATCTATGAAATAATGAAATTCCAGTTCAAAATCAAATCGTTCGATTTTTGCGGTAGACGTTCGACGCGCGTCTCTTATGCATCTCGCGAGATCTCGCAGTTGAACGGAAAATCACCAATTCAACAAATGCCTGTACATGCCTGTACAACATTTGCAAACACTTTGTTAATAAATTATCACAGGGAATGTTTTTTGACACGGTGTTTCATCATTTCCTGACATTGGAAGGGCCTTGAGGATGTGAAGTAGGAAATAGCGAGAAAGGTTGTGGACTTGGGGATGCATAGACGATATAGTTCGGTCGTGTTTTGTTTGATAGGAAAATATCTGCGAAATAATTGACACCCCCCCCCAGGCTACAGTTTCAACAATTATTCCTGCGAATCAGATCCGACAACACACGCAATAGACAAATAACAAGTTTTCTGCTTTGTAAATCTCTTCTTTTTTTAGAAGAAAACACTGCTTCGTCTTTTCAAAAGCGGTTTGTGGTGGAAATCCAATGGCAGAGATGCAATGGTACTGTTTCGTCTTGGTTCCATTTGGGCTAGGGATGGCAGACTGTCCACCTCGTCTTCTTGCAGTCGGTCCTGCTCGTCTTCTTTGGCATACACCTTGATGCAGTTATTGCCGGTATCAGCCACCGCGATTTCGATCGGTTCATACGTGGCAACGACGATGCCGTGTGGAGATTTCATTCCATCTTTCGGCAGATCGACGCGGCTGAGAAACTCACCTTTCTGATCAAACATCTGAATCATGTGGTTACTGGTAACGAATATGTTATTTTTCTTGTCTACAGCCACCCCTCTGGGATTAATCAATTGACCTTCTCTCGTGCCGAACTTCCCAAATTGGAAAAGGAACTCGCCCTCTAGAGTGTAGACTTTCACTGCATTATTGAGCGCATCGGCTACAATTACTTGATCTTTCTTATTAATTGCAATGAACCATGGTACAAGTAGTTCACCTTGACCTTTACCCACAGAGCCGATGGTCCGAACGTGTTCCCCACTGAATGTAAACACTTTAATATTAGAATCGCCGGAGTCTGCAACGTATAACAGTTTGTGTTTGGACGCAATTCCGAGTGGAGCCACCAAAAGTCCCATGCCGATTTCTCTCAGCACCTGACTGCCTTTCGTGCACACTAAAACCGTCTTCTTTTTGTGATCGCTGATTGCGATGACGTCTTCCTCGAGAACTGCCATGTCGATGGGATCTTCTGATACTGTGATTTTGTTGACGTATCGTCCATGCAGAGTGAACACCTTGACCAGACCGTTGTTACGATCAGCGACCAGTATGTCTCCCGTTGGACCCACTTTAACGCCGTGTGGTCTTGACATGCTACGACCTTTGAATGTCGACCATAGTTGGAAATTCTCAATTTCTTCGTAATCATCGTCATCGTCTTCTACAGTCGCTGTACAAATATCCCCGTTATGGTTCATGGTGATCTGCGAAAATACAAATTGAAAATGAAATGAAAACTTAAAAAGAACATTGATGTACATGGCTGCCGTGTAAACTTTGTTTTTGTTGTCTTCATAATAAAAAAAAAATAAACAAAAAAATCAGCAAAGTTTGTCTAACGCCAAACAACACAACTTTCGAATAAGTCGTGCAACAGGGCAAGCATTGTAGAAGGCATTGAAACAATAACTACGTCCTTTATTATTCACAGTATTGTACATCTCTGAAAAACACGTTTTGTATTTGATTGATGTCTACAGACAAAATCACGGGCGATATGTATAAACAATGTATTATTTAGCTCAATGCACACTTTCTAATAACCTAATCATACTAGTTTGAGACGAACAATTAAAACAAATTATTTTGACATGACTAAATAACTCTAGAATGAAAACTTTCGAAAACCAAAAACAAGTTATCATTCTCGACGGGATTTTGTTGAGGTAGCAGCTACGAAAGGATGGAAGTGGTTTTCTATTACACATATTTAGGTATTTTGTTTTCAAATAGGCAAGAAGAACACTAGCGCAGTAGCGCAGAAATCCGTTTATAATAATTGTAGAGCGACGTACTTTTGCAATTTGTTATTAAATGTGTTCCTTATACTTACACATGGCGCTGG